CTGCCTGTTGGGAGCTGCGGGGTCTGTTTCTGACAGCCGTCTGTTCTTCCTCTCGTGGTTCTCCTCCCTCGGCCGACACGCGGCTTTGGCACGTCCTGCCTGGGCCGCCTGCCTCCTCCGCTCTGCCTGTCCTAGCCGCAGCAAAGGCACGTGCTGCTGTGGCTGCTCCTCCCTGCTGCCTCCGCTGCCTCCCCCCTCACTTCGTACGTGCGGTAATTACCCCTGCTTGATGCCGAGCCTCTTGCGTTGAGCGTGCCTGCCGTGTGTTAATGCGGAGCCCTCCGTGATGGAGCCCGTGGTGCGGGGTCAAAGGATCTCTGACCCGGAGTCTGGGGACGGCTTGGCTCGCTGCTGCTGCTGGTAGCCTGGTTCTGGCCCCAAGCTCCTCCCGCCTTTCTCTCGGTTGTCAGCGGGCCGTGCTTCAGAAAACAAGCACGGGGGGGTTTGATCCTCACCCTTCCGCGACAGCCCTGTTCCGGAGGGCGAGCCTGGGCGCAGTGGGGCCAGCGCTTGCCCCCTGCGGTGATAGCACCGGCTTTCTTTTCACCTTGCCACGCTGGCCGCAGCCCAGGTTCCCGAGCTCCTGTGAACAGCGCGAAGGTGGGCAGCGAGCGCTTTCTCCCGAGGGTGAGCCTGCAGGTGATGAGAGCCACGAAGCTGCGGTCTGTTTTTGCCGGCTGCCTGCAGAACGGCTCACGGGCAGAGCTGTCCTCGTGCTCCCTCCCCTGCTCGCTGGGTGCTGCCTTGGTCACAGGGGGCGGGGAGGGGGCACGCTGCTGTTTTTCTGACTTTGGAGAGCGTGCGCTGAGCTCTGCCACATTTCTGCGAGCTAGACAGTGCGTTTATTTTTGGCTGTCGTGCATGGCGCGCCTTTCCGCTTCCTCATAATCAGCGAGAAGCCGCGCGGCACATCGGAGGACACCGCTTGGCTGGCTCGGTTCCCTGTCTCCTGCTTCAGCAGTTGGAAAGGTCCCTTTCTCCAGCACCCCGGAGGGTGTTACGGGTGAGGTGGCTCGGTATTTTTGCCCACAGCTGAGCCCTGAGAACTCCCAGCATCCTTCCTGCTGCTTCCCTTCAACAACTGCCGGTTTCTTCCTTTCCGTAGCTCTAACTTCATCCTTTTTTTGCTTAGCCCCCTGGCCAGGCAGAGCTGTCTTGGTGACGTGTAGGTCTAGGCTACAGATCTGCCAGCGGATCTCTTCCACTTTAGATGCACTGGCCTGACTTTACGTCACTTGGCTGAGTTTTGGGGTGGTGTTTGTGGAAATGACTTGATTTATGATGGCTGCCGAAGGC